TAACGAGACTGGGTTATGATCCGATATTGTGGATGTGTTTATGTCACATGACCTGACCTGTTGTAAGTGAGCGTTGCTCATTAGGAACCCGTCTATGCGGGAGTACGTATTGTGTACTTGGGAGTAGTGGGTATATTCCCTAGTATTAGGATGTAAGGTTCTCCAGATATCGTAGAGGCCATATGAGAACAGTAGTTTATTCATGGAATTGCAGTATTTGTGTAGGGATTTTTTGCATTTTGTAGAGTGTCGGGCTGTGGAGTCTGCATTGGGATCTAGTATGTGATTAAAGTCACCGCTGATGACTGTAGTGCCTGTCTGGTGTTTCTCCACGTTGGCGAGGAGTGAGGCCAGATACGGCCTCTGGTTGTCGTTAGGAGAATAGGAGTTAACTAATATGTATGTATTGTTGTTCAGGGTGCATATTAATATGATGAATCTGCCTTGCGGGTTAAGTTGGAGTGAGATGAGATCAAAGGCTAGAGAGTGGCTCAGTAGGATCGACACTCCTTTGCTCTTAGATGGGGAGGTAGCGTGGAACTGGTGTGGGAAGTTCTTAAGTCCAAGTGTGGGTTTAGAGTTTGTGTTTGCAATGTGTTTTCTGTAAGCAGACAATGTCTGCTTGTATGTTATTGAGCTCCCTAAGAAGGGTGTGCCGTTTGTTGGGGGAGTTGAGCCCGCAAACATTGTGGGTAAGTATTTTCATTGTCTGGGAGTTATATAGTAGGACTGTTCGTCAGTATTGGCGGGAAGGGGGCGGTGGCAGGCCTGCTGTGGTGGTGGGTTTGTCCGTGTGCCTGGTCTTGGTTGGCTATGAGAAACCGTCAGTGGTTTAGTCGTGGCCTGGTACCTAGAGATGTGAATCAGTTGCGTAATGCAAAATACAAAGCAATATAAAACAAACTAATACAGTTAAACAATCAAACAATTAATAAGTAATAAGTAAAGAAATGATCATATAATGGTGATTTTCCAGAGGTATGTGCCGTAGCTATGGCACTTCCTAATTGGGGGTGGTGTGAGCGGGTCGGGTCATATGGAGGCCGCTCAGGGCTCTTTTTGGGTCGGATTCTCTCTGGCCCTGCTTTCCCTGTAAGATTTAACGTTATGGCGCAACCAGCGCCTTTATGAGGAGCAAGATGTCTTAAGTATAGCGGTGGAGGCAATGGCTACAATGGGTGTTGCCTTTCAAGCCTATGTCAGCAAAGTTAGTGTAAAGTTTGTGGTAGTGGGTCTATGAGGGGTCACATATGTTTCCCCAGCTCTCTCTAGTAGAGTGCATCAGGGGGGATAAGGCATGGGTATTTATATGTGAGTTCTCTAACCTAGCATGTCATAGACTATCACATTGTATAACAGTTAGGTATTGGGTAAAACTTGGTTTTAACTTGCTGTTTCTTGACGTAAGTTTTCAGTCTTCTCTCGGGGATGTGCGTCTTGTTTTTTGAGGGCATCATTCTTCTTCTTCTGTGGTTTTGCTGGAGGCCTGGGGATTGGGTTGTAAATTCCGGGACATACCCCATTGCCGCAGGAGGCTCAGTCCTTCTCTTTGTGTGTTTGCTGTGAAAAGCTTACTCCGTTTTGTGATAAGAAACTTGGCCAGATAGCCCCATCGGTACGGGACGTTGTGATGTCTCAGAGCGTCGGCTACATCTTTGAAGGAACGCCTGCGGCGTAATGTCTCTGCGGATAAGTCCATAAACAGGAGGATGTCTTTGAACCGGTCAGGTAAGACCTTTTTGGTTCTGTGTGCCCTTAGGATTTGGTCCTTGATGTGATAATAGTGAAGTCTCATGAGGACAACTCTTGGCGTGGTGGGCGGTAAATGCTGCGGTCTAGGAAGTCTATGGATGCGGTCTAGGAGAAACATATCTGCTGGGATATCTGGCAGTATAGCCTTGAACAGCTCCACAGCGTAGGCTGTTAGATCTTGTGCTCCTATTTCGTCCGGTACGTCTCTCAGGCGTATGTTGTTGCCTCGCGATCTGTCTTTAGTATCTGCGATTTTAGTTTCATGGAGATAAAGTTTGTCTTCAATTTTGCTGAGGCGTTCTTCTGTTGCAGTATTAGCTGCAATGAGACTTCCCATATTCCCCTCGAGGTGTGAGGTTCGTGCATCTAGGCTTGTAATGTCTTTCTTTATGTCATTTATAGCCTCTGTGACAGTGAATTGCATTTTGGCAACTGCTGCATCTAACATGGTTTGCTGGAGATTCTGTGTGAGTGGGGTGTCTGCTTGCTTACCGGCTGTGCTGGCGCAGTCTGCATCAGAGTCCGTGTCGGTGCCATCTTGGGCCTGCTGGTCGGCAGGTTTATGTTGCGACGACCTAGCAGCAAAGAAGGCTGATTTTTCTTTTGCCCCTGTGGCTTTCTTCATGTGATGTTGGGACATCTTCCTCGTGGTCTGGGACTGAGATTAACTGAAAATGATCTGTAATTAGCCGCATATTAGAGCCCGTGGCAGCGGAGGTTGTTTAATGTGCTGCCATCTCGCTCGACGTCCGGGCACGCCCTCAGAACCCAAACTTTCAACTAGAAAATACCTTAACTAATACACCACGTACCATCATGGCTTGCTGAGTTATTCCCCTCTCATGCTCACCACAAAATGATCATGATCAATTCTCAACCATCCCATCATCCTTCTCTTGATTTCTACACCCTTTATGTCCTGTTTTTTTTTTTGTGTTTGCCATTATGCTTCCATATTCATCAATGCAATGATTACTAGTACCAACACTTACATAAAATCTATCACAAAAATAAATGCAAATTGTTAAAACATAGACTCTTTGATACATATTTACATTTCCAAAAAGGCATTAAAGGAACACTCCACTGCACAAGTACAAAAAGATTTAAACCATAGAGTTACACTGTGACTGTTTCAACTGTAAAGGACCACTATAGGCACCCAGACCACTTCAGCTTAATGAAGTGGTCTGGGTGCCAGGTCCAGCTAGGTTTAACCCTTTTTGCTGTAAACATAGCAGTTTCAGAGAAACTGCTATGTTTACCTATGGGTTAATCCAGCCTCTAGTGGCTGTCTCATTAACAGCCACTAGAGGCGATTCTCATGCGCATTAAGCCGATGACGGAAGAAGAGGGAGGAGAGTCCCAGCGCCGAGGGAGCCTGGAGCTGGAAAAAAGGTAAGGGATTAACCCCTTCCTCCCCCTTCAGCGCCACGGGAGTGGGACCCTGAGGGTGGGGGCATTCTCAGGGCACTATAGTGCCAGGAAAACAAGTATGTTTTCCTGGCACTATAGTGGTCCTTTAATTTTGCCTGTTGGATTTCCAAATCATTACATCTCAGAGTTTGATGAATACATATTGCTATATTTATTGTTATATATAGTTATATGAATATTGTTATACACACACATTGAAAACATAAATTTAATTATGCATTTTTTTTATTTGGGTGCATATAAAACCACTTGCGAAAGCTGCAGATCTCTTGTCTGCTGCATTTGCAAGCCCTCCCTTTCTAACCCCACCCAGACATTCTGTGGCTGTCCAATCACAGACTTCCCAATGCAGCTCTATGAGAAGTCTTTGCAAGGCAGGTGCTCTGGGCAATTGTCTGCCTCGGTTAATTTATAAAAAAAAATTCCAATTTCTATTAAAATTTGCACTAGTTGTAAAATGAAATAAAAAAAAGGACACCAAAGTCTTCACACATATAGCACTTTAGGAAACTAAAATGCATTAGGGGTCTGGAGTGTCTCTTTAATTCCACTACTGCTAGCAGAACAAAGAAAAGTACTCTAACTTCAGCTTTTTTTTTCCACAGAAAACCACATGAAGACTAAACGTCCAGTGTTATGTTTACAACACATCCCTAGAGAAGACCAGTTTCAACATGGAATGCCGTTCTAGTTGGTATAATATAAACAGGAGACTTCATATCAAGAATATGATTCTAAAGTTACACATGGGTTCTCTCCATATAGATTCCTGTAACCATGCTTATCAGAAATGAATTCTTCTCCCTCCTGTAGAATATACAAAACACCACAGCTATCAGTATTAAATGGATTGCATTACTGCTAACATCTCCCTTAGGCCATGACAACAGAGAGAAAACATATAACAATAGTAACTATTTGGAATAGAAATAAGTACTGTGTCCCATTTGTAACCCCTGGGTAAACACTAATGTTTGAACTTCACTTACAATAGCTACAGTGTGAAATGTGGGAGTTGTATAGTGAATAGGAGAAAGAGAAAGCTGCACCCATAAATCCTGTAAAATAAAATAAAACATACATGGTTTTTGACCCTCGGGCAAGAGTTTATCAGATCCACTTATAATGTCAGACAGTGTGTGAGTAGGTTTAACTATTACACAATCAAAACTGTTTATGAGAGTCAAGGTTATGCTCATCTAATATTTTACATTTTAAGGAACACCAAGCACCACAACCACTGTAGTGCACTGCAGTGTTTATAATGCCAGGAGAGCACTGGCATTCCCCCATTTAGAATGAACTGAATTGTCTAGGGATAGCCAGGTGCTGGTCACCCCCGCCACTACTTCCATTAGAGAGCCGGAAGTTCCAAAGCCGTAGCATCTGTTAGCTCCCCTGAGCTCAGTTCTGCACTGCCAGGATTAGCTTACGCAGAGAGCTAGAAGCTCTCTGTCTGAAGTAGTGAAGGCAGGGAGCGACCTCCGGGTAAGATGTCAAGCTGTTCAAAATGGTTTATCTACTACTTACAATTGAGGGGGTGGGGAGGTGGGGGTACCATGGAACTTCTGAGACCATAACCACTGCTCCAAGCACCATGAACACTTCAGTTATTTGAAATGATCGAGATGGTTTGGAGTGTGTATGCATTACATAGTTTCCCGCTATGTAACGCTGAACATATGCAATATAACCCCTTTGCTACTGGAGGTATAACTCCACCTCCGACAGCATCATTGAGACATTGTTAGCCAGCCTGGAGTTCTGGGCTAATGTCACTTCTGTGCATATTGGATTTCTTAGCACATATAGCATGATGGCGATGTATAATGGCAGCATGCCACTCCTCCTGTGCTGCCCATGTAACCCTCTCAACCTCTACTTCCCCTACATCCTGAAAATGGAGGAGCAGGCTGTAGAAATAAATTGGCCTGGGTGCTGAAAGAGATGTAAGTTTTAGCTTTATTTTATAAGGCTATCCTAACTATAAGATAAGGCCAGGGACTAATGAAAGTATTTAGAAAATTGGGCAGACTAGATGGGCCGAATGGTTCTTATCTGGCGTCACATTCTATGTTTATTTATTTATTTATTTATTTTTTTAATTATGAGGGGTGGACCAGCACAGCAAGGGTTTCTCTGACCAAAAAGAGTGCTTTATGAAAACAGTGTTTTTCCATTTGAAGCTACCTTTACAGATACACAGTCTCTTTGCCATGATAATCCATGCAGGACATTTCAGATGTCTGCTATTTTGGTAAAATAATTACATATATATATTTTTTTTTATTGGGAATGTATTGCGCCATCTTTAGTCCTTGGGGTGGGGGGTGGGGGGGGCTAGGTTGTCTCTGTAGATTTTAATTAATGTTTTGTTTCATTAATGCATAATATGGGTTGTGTTACAATATTGGGATGTCTATTTGTTGGCCACTTTTTGAGTATAACATATGGCCTGACTATAGCTCCATAGATCACTCTGTACATGGAATCCTGTGGAATAAGTAGAGCTATACATAGCATACAATGGGAGTTATTCAATAAACTATAGCAAATTAGAATTCGTTTCGCCTTCTGTAGAGGCTTCCTCTGTTGGCAAACTGACCGAGGAAACTTCTACAGGAGGCGAAACGCGTTTTGTCAGAATCAGAGGACTTGTCTGCATAATGTTTTATTTATGTTACTATTTGCATTGTTTTTATTCTATTATCTTGTTTTACATTTTGTATCTGTTCCTGGATGAATAAAGAATTTAAACAAGCTTTGGACTAAAGCCTTCTAGATTCCTATCCACCAATGAGATGAGCTCTACACCAGCTGGTCACATGTGACTGACTGCATATATATGTGTATTTTAATGTGCTGGTGATACAGGGTCCAGTCATTGCTGGCCTAGGTCTGCACCAAACATGCTAATCGTTGCTAGACAGCCTTTTAGGCTCCGAGCTCTAAACACAACTCCTCACTCCACACATTCTGACAGCCCGCTCCGAGCTCTAAACACGGCTCCCCGCTTCACACTCTCACACAATCTGCCAGCTTCCAGGACAGCGCGCTCTCATTGGCTGCTTCTACGACGCGAGCCGCTTGATTCCTCCAATCAGAGACCACCCGCACGCTGCTGCGTTCTGTTTGCCGTGGAGGCTGCTGGGAGCTGATATTTATCCCGGGGCTCAGCCGAGCGCTGCGGGCAGTTGAGTGATCGCAGGGAGAGGATCGGGCTGGGCCACAGACACAATGGACGAGGGGGACAACAGGAGCACGAACCAGCTGGTAAGACACGGCCTGGGGGGGCCTGGGCTCACACTGTGCGAGGTGTCATGCCGGGGGTGGGCTGACTGTGTTTGGGGTCTCAGCCAGACACCTTGCAGGGCCTGCTGTCATATACTGCATTAATACCCAGTGTGAGAATATATATCATATAAATAAACAGAGCTCACATCCCTCTAACTGGGACTGGGGCAGGACAGTGTGTTATTTATCTCACAATCTCTGTCAGCATTCATTAATTCCAGTTTAACCCCATAAGGACCAAAATTCTGGAATAAAAGGGAATCATGACATGTCACGTGTCCTTAAGGGGTTAAAATAAAACACCCCCCCTTCACAGCCCCCAATGATGTTGATGAGGGATATCAAGCTAATACACCCTTGGTTTTTGCTGCACTATAAATCCTGTGATGCTGTGCCAGTCTTAAAGATGGCAAGGCCTTGTGGGGGTTATAGTTCTGCTCCCTAATGGCCACCCGTGATGGAGGTGGATTATTTATTTTTGGTAAATATATTTGTATCTTTCTTTTTTTTTTTTACTGTCTTATGTTGTTGTTTGTAAAATATATATGTGTCAAAAGCTTGATCATACATCAGCTCTTGGACATATGGCATCCATTACATTTGGAAGCTGCCAAATATTTCGTTGTAACTTGGAAATTTGCTGATTAAAAAAAAAAAAAGTCTGCTACAGAAGTTAACTGGTATACACTGAAATAATACAGCCAACATCATCATTATTATTTTGATAAAGAGCAAAACCCTCATGTGATTTGTGATAGATGGTGGGGGTTGTATTGCTAGGCATATCATTATGATGAAGATCGTCTTCTACAGATTCCCAAAACATTGATTTTTATTTCAGTTAGTGACTGTGGTCTCTTTATGATTAATGTGTTTCCTCTGTCTATAATATAGAGTAGTGTGCATGACTTGCGTCTGTAGTGACAGGCCTTGAAAAGGGAGGTGTCTTTTATTAGGTAACTACTGCCATCTTTATGCCGTCTAGCTTTCAGCAGGTTTGCTAGGGAAGTGAAGTCAAAACAAATACTTCCTGTGGTTCATGTGTTAAATACAACACAATGTGTTGCAGATAGTGTCGCAAAAGGAATACAAATTAAAACAATGGATATACCATGTTTCATTTATAAGATTTATTTATTTTTTTAATCGTACTAGATGGAATTGTGTGTGTGTATATATTTTCCCATAATGCATCTAACATTATAAGAACAGTCTACAGAATCTCATACAATTGCCAGTGGGTCATCAATCATTACTGTTTACATGACAATGTGAAAACCCTTTGCTAAATTCGTGAAGAATGCTTTAAATGGCTTTGCACTGTTTCAAAACCCTTGTGAACTCTAGAGTCGCAATGTCTCCTTTGGAGACTATTGCAAATCGCTGCAATATGAAAGGAAGCCAGGCATGGCTTTTTATGCTGTAGTCTGTCTTAGCAGGGTCCTTCTTGTCTATTGTTTCTGTATTCCTAAATTTGTTTGTCATCTTGTACGTTTATGACTTGTGTACAGTTGGTACAGCACAGAGAATTGGATGTCTGTTCAATGCAATGAATACTGTATATTGTCCTCACAGGCTTAACTCTTTCAGTGCTCTGAACAATGCATTGCATCACATTTGAAAGCAGTAATGCCATAAAAGATTTCATTACATCAACTTGTTTATTAGAATATTACAGACAACTTAATTTTTCATCTTATCGCGCTTTAAGTGCATCTCTAATTATCATTAGATGATTCATCCCCACCCTAATTAGCCCATATACCTGACAGTAGGGTTGCCAATTGGACAATATTAGCTCTTCTTTTCCAGACCTATCCTCCTCTTTGATAATCTTCGTTGCTCCATGCAACAAAAACCTAAGGACCAAGTAACACAATGCATAAAGAGGTGACACTTCAGCCCAAGAGTGACTTATTCTCTTCCAAAGGAACCTAAGCATGACTTGCAACATAGAGGACTGTAGAGCTGATTAATCTAATTAATGCAACAGTGCTTCCTGAAGTCACACTAGATTACATGATGGATGAGTAGGATAGAAAAGGATGTAGATTAATGCATAACTGCAAGCACCATAACCACTTTGGTGCCCCTAGCCCCAATTGCAAGTAGTCAGACTGTTTAAGAGCCGCTCCCAGCATCCACTACGAACGCTGGAGGGCCAGAAACGTTTGTTAGCTCTCATGAGCTAAGTCTGCAACAACTCCGTAAATTAATAGATAAAAATAATTAATTTGGGTGGGGATCAGCTTTGTACTAGACTTCGTTACATTATAAATCTATGACATTCTAGAGATGCATGCTAGATAAGTGTAAACCGCTCTTACTTGCCATATTCCAGTACAATCCTCTTAGGTTTTCTGTAACATTTCATTTATTAGAAAATATTTATATATTACTAACCACATTCCACAGAAATATCTCAAGTGTTCTGATATTGTAGTACCAGACACACATGCTTCGTATATCTGCGTGCAAGGACTAGCTTTGTATATTTGGGATTGTTCAGCTGATCTTTTGGCTTTAACGAAGTGTATATTAATAATTTTAAACTAAGGGATTCCGATTTGGGCTCCTTGGATTGCAAAAGCTTTTAAAAATAATATATCTGAATGACACCATTCTTTGTTCACGGCTGTACCAGTTTCAATGTGGTTTCTTGTTTGTTTAGGCCCATAATATCTTGAGATACCGCACAGGAAGTATCCATAAAAGCACAGGTTTATTAGTCATAAATAAATCAACATGTAGCAGACTGAATCATCTCACAGATCCCACATTATTGTGTATATCCAATAAGATAAAATGCAAAGCAAACAGCCACCAGTACCTGTATCTGTGGGGTTTAGAGAGGGGAGACTAGATAAAATGCTGATGAGCTGGATGAAGACATCCTAAGGCAGCATTTCCCAATTGGTGTTTGTGAAACAAAATGGCTGCGAGGGAGCATTTCCCCAGCTCAGCTCCCTCGTGTGCACAGCAGTGATGCCGGAGCTGGAATATGATGTCACTCCGGCATCACTAAGAGGCGCGCGAGGGAGCTGAGCTAGAAAATCCCTGCACGGCAGCCCCACTGCATGCCAGCCGCTCAGCAGCCCCACTAGACAAATGGAGGTCATTTTAGTTACTCCAATGGCCATTGGAGGGAATGCCCGTCTGCCAACGTAAAGGCAGACCCCCCTAAGCGGGTCCTACACTGACCCTTCACCTTGCTTCCTTGAGCTTCTGGCAAAGAGATCTCCACTGAGACAGAGAGGGGTGTTTTTTTATATACACCCCTATATACTTATTAACCATTAATAGGGAACACATGGGATGGGCGGCTGCATTGTAACAAAGCTGTGTGATACAAAAAGTGAATACAAATACAGAAAGATAAGTCCTGCGCTCACTCCCATCACTCCTGGGCGGGAGCAATGACCACAGTACACATCAGCCCCAATATATAGTTAAAAACCAAAGCGAAAAAGTTACCTGCGCTCTCCTTACTCCTTATGTATATTTAGACAAATGGAGGTAATTTAGTTACTCCAATGGCCATTGGAGGGAATGCCCGCCTGCCAACGTCAAGGCAGACCCCCCTAAGCGGGTCCCCCCTAAGGTTTGTGTCACTGTGTGTATATATGTGTATATATATGTATGTATATATATATGTGTGTGTGTGTGTGTGTGTGTGTGTGTGTGTGTGTGTGTGTGTGTGTATATATATATATATTTTATATGTGTGTTTGTATGTGCCTATGTGTGTGTACATGACTGTGTGTATCTGAATGTATGTATGTATCTGTGTGTCAGATACACACACAAACACAGATACATACATACATACATACATACATACATACACACACACACACACACACACACACACGGTTTCAAGGTGTGTGTATATCTGTGTGCTGCTATGTGCCAGGGTTTGTGTATCTGTGTGTCACACACACACACCGGCACATACAAAAACCGGCAGTTTGTTATATTTTACTGAGGGAGGGGAAGGTTCCACGATGTTGATACACTGTCAAAGGGTCCCACGGGAAAAATGAATTGGGAACCCCTGTCCTAAGGGGCTGAACATGTTTCACGTTTCTTGTTTGTTTAGAATATCTGATTTTGCTGTGTAAGCCTTAAATAGCTGGTGAACATTTTATTGTAGATCTCGAAGTATTGCTTATTTATATTAAATAAATCTAAGACACTGATGCAGTCCTTCAGTGTGCTGGGCCCAGGCAGCAATCAGGTTAATGTTAGACGTGGGACATTCCTGGGAGTGCCTCCAGTTTATTTAAAAAAAAAACTGCTATGTTGATAAGAAGGAAAAATGCAAATACATTGCCAGTTTGTGGCTTACATTAATTCTTAATCTGAAACCATTGTAGCATTGGTACTGCTTGTGATCTGTAGCCAGTGCCGATGTCCTGTAGCTGGGTATGAAAAGCCACAAAATGACCCCTGTGTAATTTGGTAATCAAATGTATTCCAGAATGAGTTGGTTTCTGGTTTTTGGATCCATCTATGGTACAGACATTTTCTGTCAAAGTCTCTAGAAGAAAAATAAAAGGAATGGTATAGGCCCAGAATTAGGGTTAAGGCATAGGGTATGAAATCAGAAGCACAAATGAAAGGAAAACACCAGGCAAATACCAGGGGGTTATATAAGAACTGATTTTGTTTATATACCATTAGAAATACATAGTTTACATTACAGCTTAGGTACACCTCCACTAGCCACTCCTCAGATGACTGCTAGAAGTGATTCCTGGGGCAGTGCTGCACACTTAAGTACTGCCATTCAGTGTCTCCACACTCTGCATGCAGACACTGAACTTTTCTCATGGAGATGCATTGATACAATGCATCCCAATGAGGAGATGCAAAATGGCAATTGCTGTGTTTGGCTTGTGCTGGTTCTGCCCCTGATCTGCCTGTTTGACAGTCTCAGCCAATCCTATGGGGGAAGCATTGTGATTGGCTCACAGAATCACTTCTGATGATGTCCGCTGTAAGCAGGGCAGAGGCAGAAGCTGCAAACCTGACTACAAGTAAGATTTTACTATATTTAGAGAGGCCCGAGGGATAGACGGTTAAACACAATAGGGTCAGGAATACATGTTTGTGTTCCTGACCCTATAGTGTTTAATCACCAATGGTTGGAGAACAAATTCAATAGATCTTCAGAATGAGACTGTTCTTTAGGTGGCCCCTCACTTAAAGGGACACTATAGTCACCAGAACAACTACAGCTTATTGAATTTGCTCTGGTGAGTAGAATCATTTACCTTCAGGATTTTTGCTATAAACACTATCTTTTCAGAGAAAATGTAGTGTTTATATTACAGTCTAGTGATAACTTAACTGGCCACTCCTCAGACGGTTGTTAGAGGGCCTTCCTGGTTCATGGCTGCCTAAAATGCATCCAAACATTCAGTGTCTCCTCCCTCTGTATGCCGACACTGAACTTTCTTCATAGAGATTCATTGATTCAATTCATCTCTATGAGGAGATGCTGATTGGCCAGGGCTGTGTTTGAATTGTGCTGGCTCTGCCTCTTTGTCAGTCTCCGCCAATCCTATGGGGAAGCATTGTAATTGGATCAGAATACCACTTCTGCTGATGTCACCAGGCAGTGGGCAGGTCTAAAAGGAAACAGGCACAAAGTAAGCAGCTGCAGACTTGAATACAAGTAAGTTTTGCTATTTTTAGGGAGGCATGAGGGGACCAGGGGGGCACGATGGTGGTTTTAACCCTATAGGGTCAGGAATACATGTTTGTGTTCCTGACCCTATAGTGATCCTTTAACTTTTTCCGATTGTTTCCTCTTCATTCCTTGTGCAGAATCTGTTCTTAATTTCTGATCTATTTCTAACCCCTTAAGGACACATGACGTGTGACATGTCATGATTCCCTTTTATTCAAGAAGTTTGGTCCTTAAGGGGTTAAATGCAGGGGCTACTTTACTGCTACGATGTTTTACTTTATCCCATTTTATTTTCCCTACGCCTGACCAATCTTGACAAAGGGTGGAGCTTATGGCAAGCTCCACTATCTTGATAAAGGAAGTGAACTAGTCTTATGCCTTAAGCTCCGTCCTTTATTACAATATGTCAGGGGTAGGAAAATTGCATAAAACAAAGTAGTCTCCCTACATTGTCTTATGTTTTCAAACAGAAATAGATCAGAAAAGAAGAAAAGATTCTGAAAGAGGAAGAGATGAGATGAAAGGGAAGTTTGAGGTGACACAGACATTTTAAGATCTTGTTCTGAACTTAGTATTTTTATTTATAACTCTTTTGCTGTAAACAAGTGCATGTTATCTCTGCAGTCACAGGTTTGATTAACTTGGATTAAAATAATTCCCCAGTCACCATAAAAACTTCTAAATTACCTTCTTTATGAATGGGGAGCTACTTGCTGAGTGTCTGCTATAGCCATGTAGCGACACTCCATGCTTCTTATAACTCAGATTCAAGATTGACGCTCTCAGCCTAGGATGCAGGACCAGCTGTGGAGACAGGAGCACTGCTGGGACAAAATACCTTTTTTACTCCTTAACAGGGAAGTGAGGGATCACTATAAAAAATAAATAGAAATATTTATATCTCTACTATGTATAATTTTTTTTGTTTTTTTTTTTCAAATTTGTATTTTATTATATCTTCAATATGTGGTCAGGGGTACAGAAGGAAAAAAGGGTATGTTAGCGGGGGGATACAGGGTTACAGTATTTGACATAAACATCGCGTTCACAGAATTTGCGGAACCTGGGTGAGTACATGGGGGGATTGGTACATGCATGCATTTTGTCATAGTAACTTAAGTACATGTGTAGGCTGTTAATTCGTTGGGTGGTATACGCTATCGCCTAAGTGTCCATGCGGTTGGCTCAGGGTGGGAGCTATACCAGTGAATCCTCTCGTAGCCATGGTTGTGTGCATGAATAGTCTGCTCAGTCGACATAGTTATGATTGTAGGCTGTATAGCCTATGATGGTTCGTGCACTAGTTAGTCCCAGGTGTGCGGGTTAGGAAGTACCGGAGTTATGCCTCATTTTGATGAGTATGTTGGTGTATCAGTAGGTAGCCCTAGTGGTAGGGTGCAAACTTGGTAGGGGACGGGGGGGGAAAGGCCAGTAGGGCCCGGAGGAGGGGGCGGGGGTGAAGAAGGGGAGTAGGGGAGTGATGGAGAGTACTGATAGAATGTGGTATAAGCATTGTTCATGTCCTGTATGAGTCTTGCCCTCATTGGAGAACAGGGTCTGGCCCGGGTATACCTCCCTCCTTGTCCACCGCCCCCTCCCAATTCCCCCAACCCATATCGAATGCCAGTTTTTTGGGGGGGGATATTATTGCCATTCTTTCGTAGGTTTTGTATTGGGTGAGTTTGGTTTGAAGTTGGGCTAAGGATGGGCAGGTCTGTGATTTCCAATGTAGTGCTAGCAAGTTTCTTGCCGCCAGTATTGTAAGGGCTGCAATCTGTTTTTGTATTAGGGTGAGGTTAGTTGGGAGTAGGAGCAGGAGGCATGATTTTTTTGACAGTTGGAATTTAGGGATGTGAAGTTGGTCTAGTGTCTGTGATACAGCGGTCCAAAGTGGTTGGATACTACCGCAAGACCACCATAAGTGTTCCAAGGTCCCTGCAGTTGCGTTGCACCGCCAGCAAGTGTTGGGCGTATTGGGGTATATACGGTGGAGTCTCTGTGGTGTCATATACCAACGGTAGAGGAGTTTTTTGTGGGCCTCGATATGTGTGTAGCACTTGGTCCATTTAGAGAGACCGTTGAGGGCGCGTAGCCAGTCGTAGTCTCAGTGCTGTCCCGCAGTCTGTCTCCCAGTGGAGTTTGTAGGGGTGTGATGTGGGTGTTGAGAGTTCCTGCCATGCCTTGTAACATAGTGTGAGTGCTTTGGGTTTTGTGGGTGCCACCCAACATCTGTCTAGGAGTAAGTGGGAGGCGAGTCTAGTCGCAGTTGGCGTTGGATGTATTGGGGGTGTGTGTGTTTGAATCACGCTTTTTAGTTGTAGATAGGAAAAGATAGCCCTGTTTGGGAGTTGCCACTTCGTTTGTAGTATTGGTAATGGTAGTACGCCTTTGGCGTCCAATAGCTGTGATATTGTTGCCACTCCCGCCGCATTCCAGTCTTTGAGGGGAATGTTAGGTACTATTATTCTCAGGACTGAGAGTGGAGATTTTGTGTGTAGTGTATCCTTATGACCTATTGTCTCCATAAAGGTGTCCCATATGGATATTGTAAGTTGTGTGGTTGGGAACAGGTCTGTGCGCTTAATTCTAAACTTCCTTGGTGTCCATAGGTAGTCGGTTAGAGACATGCTTGCAAATTGTGCTCTTTCCATGTCTACCCATTGTAGTGTGCCTGATGTGGCATGAAGGAGTATGCCTGTGGAGAGGATCGCTGCTCTATGGTATTGTCTCAGGTTTGGGAGACCCACTCCTCCATGTCGTGGGGCAGTCTGAAGGAGTGCTAGGGACACCCGGGGTCTTTTCCCGCTCCAAATATACGCGCTACATAATTTTTGTAGTGCCTTACAAAATTGGGGCGTGATCCCTAATGGTATCATCCTAAAGATATAAAGGATACGTGGGAGGATCATCATTTTGTACGTGTTAATTCTTCCCAACCATGAGATTTTTGCGTGTTTCCATCTGTTCATTTCCGCTTTACATAGTGTAATTAGAGGTTTGTAGTTTAGTTGTGAAGTGGCAGAAATCGTGGGCGCTATCTTTATTCCCAGGTATGTGAGGGAGTGTGATTTCCAGTCGAACTGGTATGAGGTCTGGAGTGTGTCTAACAAGGGTTTGGGCAAGTTTATTGGTAGAGCTTGGGTTTTGTCTTGGTTGAGGCGGTAGTAAGAAATATTGCCAAATTCCTGTAGGAGGTTCAACAGGGGGGGCAGAGAATTTTGTGGATCCGACAATGCTATAAATATGTCGTCGGCAAACAAAGCTAGGCTGTACATTTTGTTGCGGATATTGACTCCTAGTATCTCGGGGTGTGTTTGGATCTTTTGTGCCAGGGGTTCTAGAGCAAGTATGTACAGTAGGGGCGATAAAGGGCATCCCTGGCGGGTGCCATTGGTGATGGAGAATGCCGTAGAGAGGAACCCTCCATGCGATACTTTTGCTGCTGGACGGTGGTATAAAGCCATGATGCTATTTATGGTAGATTCTGGAAAGTTAAATTGTGCCAGTACTTTTGTCATATAGGCCCAATTTAGACGATCAAAGGCCTTCTCCGCGTCTAGGGCGAGGAGGAGGCCTGATGATCTGTTGGACTCCAGTGTGGAGATCATGTTTAATATTTTTCTGGTGTTGTCTGAGCCTTGGCGGCCCCTGATGAACCCAGATTGGTCATTGTGGATTATTTTATGCAGGAGGGGGGCGAGACGGTTGCTGAGGAGCTTCGCGTATAGCTTGGCATCTCCATTTAGGAGGGATATAGGCCGGAAGTTTTTGCATTGTGTAGGGGGTTTGCCTGGTTTGGGAAGAGTGGAGATATGTGCCAAGAGCATTTCTTCTGGGAGCGCACCTGTTGTAGCGCATTTGTTAACTAATTGGAGGAGCAGTGGTGCTATGGTTGGTGAGAAAGTTTTATAGTATTCATTTGTTAAGCCATCAGGGCCCGGTGATTTGTGTGCTGGGAGTTGAGAGATGGCTTCCGTGAGTTCGTCTAGAGAGAAGGGTCTTGTTAGGGGTGCTAGGTCGTCTTCTGTCAGTTTGGGGAGATCTAAGGCAGCTAGAAAGTCATCTATTGTGTCTGGGGTCGGTATGTGTACCTTGGGGTCCCGGTTGAGGTTGTATAATTCGCCGTAGTATTGAGCGAATTGGTCTACAATATTTTGGGGGTTCGTTACTTTTATGCCCTTGGGGTTGTTTAGGAAGGCGATTCTGGAGGCGACATTCCTCTTTTTCAGTTGTGATGCCAATAGTGCACCAGCTTTGTTGCCACTCGTAAAGAAATTGTTTCAATTTCCTGAGTAGGTAAGTTGTTTTGGCTAGCTCAATGTTGTTCAGTTTGTTGTGGAGGGCTAAGAGTTTTGTTTTTGTGGTTGGTTTTGGGTCTCTTTTGTTTGAATGTGTTAGAGTTCGGATTTCTTCCAAGAGATTGGTGTATTCGGCCATTCTCTGCTTTTTAGCATAGCTGGCATGTTTTATAAAACTGCCTCGTATGACCGCCTTATGTGCTAGCCAAATGTGTTCGATTGCAGAGTCAGCGGTCGTGTTTTCTGCTATATAGTGTTGTAGATCTGTCGTGATCTGGGATACTATTGCTGGGTCTGCTAAAAGAGATTCATTAAGTCTCCAGGAGCCAGATCCTTTATTGTTAAACGCTTCTGTAATGCTAAGTGTAATGGGAGCATGGTCTGACCACGTCATTACCCCAATTGTTGCTCCTTCTATTTGGGCCATCAACGTGGTGGGTATGTGGAATCTATCTATCCGAGAATAGCTGTTGTGGGCTGCTGTATAGCATGTGTGATCTATATCTGTGGGATGTAGAATGCGCCATGGGTCTACCATGCGAGCTGCAGTCAGTGTGGAGCATATTTTTGTGGTTAACGTGGTTCTGTGTCTGAGTGTGCAATTCTTGATTTGGGCTGTGGTGGAGGAGTCTAATCTGCTATCTAATAGGCAGTTCATGTCGCCTCCAATAATCACCTCCCCGTGTCTATACATATCAGTTAGAGCTAAGATCATTTGCAAGAACTCGTTTTGGTTTTCGTTAGGGCTATATACATTAATCAGAGTATACGGTGCATTATTCAACATACATTGTAAAATTAAATATCGACCTTTTTTGTCACATATTTTCCTAACTAAGGAGAAGGCCACATCTTTGCTGATCATTGTGGAGACTCCTCTTTTCTTCGCTGAATAACATGTATGAAAGTCGTGAGGGTACCATTTTGAGGTAAATTTGGGTCTAGAGTTCCATTTAAAATGGGTCTCTTGGAAAAATGCCACTTGTGCCCCACATTTTTTCGCCTCTTACAAGGCTAGCCTCCGTTTATTAGGGGAGTTAAGCCCTTTGGCGTTTAGGGACATAAGCTTAATCACCATCTTTCCAGCGTGGTGGATGCTGTGGCAGGGGTTTGTGTTTCTTAATCGAGCTATTGGTTACTTTAGCTCGGCGGTCTCGAAGGAAACCTGTGGGGTTTGTATACTTGGGGGATCTAGGTAGTTTGCAACCGTGTGTATTAGTTATGCTGAGTTTGCGGAGTACTCTCAGTGGGGGGGTGGTGTGGAGGAGATAGGGAGAACAGGGGGAGAAACTATATACAAAATTCCGTAAGTCACGGTTTGGTGACATTTGGTTGCCTAAAGCAACGGAAAAGTTGGATTACTAGAACCTCGGGGGTGTACCACACTGATGTGGTAACTGGATCCCTATGTGTAGGGTATCAACAATAACTTGGGTCGAATGTAGTGCCGTCGGGTATTGCTCACCCGTTGCGGCTAGGCCTGTGGCCTTTGGTTAAACCCTTAATGGGTATCTTAGGTGAACTTGCATTATAACATTTAACAAAACAGTATAAACCTGTACGTTCAGTTCATTCAGTGGGAGGCATGATGCGGCTCTGGCCCCGGATCATTCAGGTCGGTGACTTGTTCGAGTCCATGCGTGCCTGTGGGGCCCTGTGGATTCGTGACCAGTCTTTGGACAACGCCTTTGGTGCATGGGCCGGTGTTTGTTTCTTCCTGGGGCTAGTAGGTAGGAGGGGTATATTCCATTCTTGCAGCGCCTTTTTGCCGTCTTCTGGAGTCAGGATAGGCTTGTCCACGCCATTTCTTTTAATTAGTAGCTTCGTAGGAAAGCCCCACTTGTAGGAGATATCTGCGTTACGCAGTGCTTCTGTGATCGGTGCGAAGGCTCGGCGTTTGAGCATGGTCGCTGAGGAGAGATCAGTGAACAGCTTGATATCTTTATACAATTCTGGCCATTTGGTTATGGTTCTGGAAGTCTGCATAATTCTGTCCTTGACAGTGAAGTGGTGTACTCTCGTGATCGTGTCTCTTGCAGTGTCTGGTGGGAGATGCTTGGGTTTCGGTAGTCTGTGGGTCCTGTCCAGGATCAAGTCGAATTCAGACAAAGAGGGGATCAGAGTTTTAAACAGGTCTTTGACATACCTGGATAGGTCTTGTTGTGAAATGGCCTCTGGTATACCCCTTATACGGATATTATTCCGTCTGCTCCTGTCTTCTTGATCGGCCACCTTCTCTTCTAAGGATTTAAGTTTGCGCTCCAAGTCTGTGTAGGCCTCTGTTATTGTGTTATGTGCCTCCACCAGCTCGTCTGCCCTGTCTTCCAGGCGTGCGGTGCGCTCTCCCATACTCTGTATGTCTGCCTTGATGTCAGCGGTCATCTGAAGGAGGTCAGCCTTAAATGAGGTGTGGAGCTCCTGCATAATTAGCCTGATTGAGGCATCTGTTGCAGGATTGCTGTGCTCTGACAGGCAGTCTCCTGTGTCAGTGCTGTGTGCAGGCGAGTGCCGTCCGTCGGCGCCATCTTGGATTTTCGGCTCCGCGGTTTGTGACCGTTCTAAGTGGGGATTGAGGGTTTTTTGTTTAAATTTTTTGGTCGCCATCAGGGATAGGGGTGTTCACCTGAGTGTGCAGAGGTTTATCGCTCGTTTCTAGGGGTTTTCCACGCTGTTGAAGCCGCTTTATTGCCGCGGGTCGGGAGAGCACCGTTCCTGCACGTCCGCTCACATGCGCGGTCAGGACACGCCCCCCCATTTTTTTTGTTTTTTATTTATCCACCCTGTTGTTTGCTAGTCTAGGCTCCGGCCCTCCAGATGTTACTGAACTACAACTCCAATGATTCTATGAATAAAATAGGCTGAGAACCATGGGAGTTGTAGTTAAGCAACATCTAGGGGGCCGGCGTTTGGGGAAGCCCTAGCCCGTGACTTCTACTATGCAACACATTACTGCTTCCTGGGTTGGTTTGAGAATTCAGAATATTTTCCTTGACCTGCTTATTGTTGCAAGGGTGCATACCTGTTCAGCTTTCATTGGAAATGGATTCCACTTACTTCTCCCTTTCAGTCCCACTAGGTGTTCAGTGTCACAGTCTAAAGTATGATGTGACTTCATGTCCTGTCACCCTGACTCCTCTCCGCATGTGCACCTATCCTATTGTTTCTGTCACCATGTAATGCATAATCTGCTTGCTTCCTGCGTTAGACCTGAGCCCAGCATTGCATGCCTGAATGTTGACCGACTAAGGATTACATCTGAAAAGGTCTTGCTGGTAGTGTCAGGTTGCAGTTTGCCTGTTTTCCCACCGTGTTGCACTATCTCTTGTCGAACTAAAATCTGTTTTGAAGTATATTGCCCCTTTTATTAATTTCTCGAACATTTAATCCACTTAATTCATAATTTAAAAAGTCCCCCTTCCCATTGTGGCTTTGTTAATTAAGATCACTGCTGCATGCTAAGATTACGGTAAGCAAGCACAACATGCCCACCACCAAAAAAGAAAGATGGCAGTGTTGTCATGGCGATCTGTTTGTATTTGAGACAACTTTGAATTACACAGAGCTGTCTATGTGGAAGAAGAGACATGAGATAAAACGTGGCATCTGATAACTCATGAGGAATGATTCAGACTACTCCGTTTAAAGGGACACTGTAAAGGCCAAAACCTCTACAGCGTCTGAGAAAAGGTATTGTTTACTTTGCTTTCTAAGATTTCGTTAATGGCTGTCACTCAGAAAGCTACTAGAGGGGTTTTCTGGTGGAGGAGATGCTGATTAACGCGAATGATCTCAGCCAGGCAAGAAGCGCAGGTGGCGGCAAGACAAAAGCTACAGGGGTCTTAAATTGAACCTGCTATGAGTAATTTAACTTCCTTGTAATCGCTCCCATATACATTGAGTACACCGTATGTCACAAAGATGCATGTTGTATTCAATGTAAAATATAAAGATTTACTCCCTTTCAGTGCTGCTTCATGGGTGTTGCTCTTTGTGTAACTCCCACCTCCTGACTGTCCTGCACTCCGCCTCAGTACTTCTTTGATTTGCCCTGCTTGGGACCCATCCCCAAGCAGGCCAAATCTCATCAGTGACGTCGGCATGCTGGCTTTGTTGCTGGTGTCGTAACGGAGTGACGTCCCGTCACTGTGTTCATATACTCGGTAGCAAGCGCTTGCTAGTTGGTTTCCTTGGCAACCGCAGCGCCTTCTCCAGGGGGAGGTCTTTTCTGCTCTCTCGTCAGTAATTACCTCTCTCAGAAAGCCAATGCATTGACTGACAACTGGGAGAAAAATCTAAATCTTGTTTCTCCTAATCTATACATTTAGGATTTCATACAAAACTGCTAGCACAATGTTTAAAATCTTATGCGCAGTCAAATAAATTGTTTGGAGCATGACACATGCTTTAAAGGGACACTATAGTCACCAGAACAACTACAGCTTATTGCATTTGTTCTGGTGAGTATAATCATTACCTTCAGGCTTTTTGCTGTAAACACTGTCTTTTCAGAGAAAATGCAATGTTTACATTACAGCCTAGGAATATCTTCACCTCTCCTCAAATTACTTTTAGAGGTGCTTCCTGGGGCAATGCTCCACACTGTGCAGTACTGCTATTCAGTGTCTCAACCCTCTGGATCCAGACACTGAACTTTCCTCATAGAGATGCATTGATTCAATACATCTCTATTAGGAGATGCTGATTTGGCAAGGGCTGTGTTTGGCTTGTACTGGCTCTGCCCCTGATCTGCCTCCTTAACAAGCTCAGACAATCCTATGGGGAAGCATTGTGATTGGCTGAGAGCATCACTTCTGATGATCTCACCTGTAAGCAGCAGCTGCAGACTTGAATACAAGTAAGATTTTTTTTTTTTTTTTAAACTATCTTTAGGGAGGCAAGGGGGCCCAGGGGAGGCTAGATGGTGGTTTTAACACTATAGGGTCATAAATACATGTTTGTGTTCTTGACCCAATAGTGTTCCTTTAATGTAAGAAAGCTTTATTTTATTCAAGGGGAGCCCTTATTCTAAATAGTTAGTATGACACTCTAACATTAGGAATATAAATATGTATTCCTAATGTTAGTGTTTCTTTAGTATATTGTCCTATGCTTTAACAGTAACAGTCCATCTTTTTTTTCAAAGAAAAGTAAAATAAATATATTAGCATAATAATAATAATTTATTATTATTATTATTATTATTAAGAAGTAATTGCAGAATTATGAAACGGGTGGGCTTGTTTATAAAGTGTAGTTTTATGTCCAAACCGTAAAAGTGGACTGTAACGGATCGACTGGGTACCTCCGTTAAAAGATGCTCCTAGCGTTTCCTGAGGTCTCCAAGCACTCTGGCAGACACCACAATCACTGAACTGGAGAAGCATATGAATGTTGTATACAGCCGAATAGGAAAAAACATGCAAATAGGTTTACACTCCTAGCAGTCAAACTGGAACAGCATACAATAAATCCTCCCCCAATAATGAGATGACACTTCACTTTGAGGGTTAAGCAGGAACTCCACTGTAATGGCCACATACTGGCTTTTATGCAAGTCCCCATGCAAGGGGACATCCCACAGGGTGGGACACAGTACAACCAATCATTTACAGGAGAACAGTAAAACACACCCAGCACAAACCTACATCCCTCCCCTCTGCCTGTGATATAATTACTGAACACAATGGGTTAATGTAATTTATCACAGGCAGGAAAAATACACTTTTTATACATACACTGTAACTTTAAAAATATGCATCATATTCACATAAAACATACATTCAGAATCGGCATACTTTAAATATAAACATAACCAAAATTCAGCCAATTCCATCCAGGGGTTTAAAAGTTAAAGGAAAGTCCTATTTGACCAAATTAAGCATGGCTTTTCTGCCCAAAACCAGTTCCACAGAGTCTTCTATCCTGGAGATAATTGGGAAGTAATCCAATGATCTCCAAGGACAGAGGCAAAACTCCATTAGCCATATGGCAGACAAAGGACAATAAAAGACATAAAAATACATACGGTTACATTTATCACATAGAACATACACATTCTACCTATCCCCAGATAGCTTAGATCTGAGCGCACATTATTACCGGATGGTGCTCAGATCACATACATACAGTTCAATCGCCATGGAGCTTTCACTATACGGCTGAGCTCCATGGCATAGCTATCTGGGGTAGCATGGCTTTAACAGTCCGCAGAAAGGTACGAATAAACCTTTCTGCAGGTAAAATAAGTTTCAAATGCAGGACCATAGTCTAAAGGGAGCAGGCGAGCAACCAGGACAGTGGACAGTGGCGAGGTTGGTCCCGCCACATGGGCCAACTAGTATGAACCTTGTTTTTGTACAAATACTTCAAGTGTCACATAACTGAAATTGCTTGGAGCCTTGGACAGCAGTGATTGAGTATAAGCAGTATTGTAATTGTGTAATCTACGCTCATGTAGTGTAGTCTGCTGTGCAGGCAATGTGTTACTTGGCAATATTATTTCATGGTGCTTGTAGAGCATAGAGAAGTCTGCTGAATTTGTAACCTGTTTGAACTATTGCTTTTAAGGCAGACTCAAGGGCGATTTAAGGGCAGTGCCTCATATTTGAAGGCAGATTTACTCACTCTAGCTTGTTAACAGTGTGTGTGGCTATAATGTGAACTCAGCTTGCCTGTCCCACTAGTCTCGGTCTAGTTACGGTACATTCACCTGTCAAGCACCTTGTCACACACTACCAACCACTTAACATTCCATGACACATTCACATACCTCCACCCAACTAGATAACTTGATAATGTTTGTGAGTAATGGTTACATTTTGTGCTATGAAAGCAAGCTGCATTTGATGATCCTAATACTATTTATATAGCAGACTACAGTGTTCCATGTGTAACCTGTTTAATAGTAAAGTCTGCTATGCAAGTAGTGCGTGTGGCTGTTAATCAGTAACATGCTATCACACTTGTTCTGCAATATATACATAGGATAGCCAGGCTCTATACAGCAGTGACAGATGTTCTTAAAATTACTGTATGTGCTTTTAAATGCAGAATCAAATATACCCTTTTTCAGTACTCAGGCAGCCATATTTACATCTGGCAGCAAATTCCCTTTTTTGCTTTTTGGATTAAATAAGGTTTGTTTACATACTCTGGTGTCGTTTACATCCAGTAGCTAACTGCTTGAAATTTACTTAAAATTTTACTTGTATTTTGCCTGATCCCTTGAGTTATTTGGATGATCTGTCCATGTTATCTCTTCAGCCCAGAGTTTTTCCGACTTTGGTAGTAATAGTGGCAGCACCCTTCGCATTTCCACATGGGTGACTGTTTTAGAGCTCTCTGCCCACTAATTTATGTGGTTAATCTCTACCGTTGCATCTAGTGTGACTGGATACCCAGCATCTGTCTCAGACTTCGTAGTGGAGGGTGCTGTGACTGTTATCTCTCTTCATGGATCTTGTAATTATTTATGTATTTATTTTGTTTTTGTTTTTTTGTTTGTTTTTTTTCTCATCTACCTCGCATTATCTAGTCCATTGTTATTTATTTTATCATTCTATTTACTGTGGGATATTTTGAGGTGTTCTATATAATAAACACCTATTTTATGTCTGTTAACATTTGACAACTTAGTGGATCTTCGCTTAATTTTTTTTTATTTGTAGATCCTTACCTAACACAGTATCGCATAGGGGATATTGTCTTGTAAAAATATTTTATACTTTGCAGCATTGAGAAATAACACTGTATTTTATATTCTATCTAACCTGAGTTTTTGTTGCGTTTGGAGATGAGTATTTCAACTTGAATTTTATTTTTGGTGCGCTCACATGTCAATTTAACGTGCAAGAAATATTGGTTTAAAGAAAGAAGAAAAAAAAAAAACTAAATTGGGTAAAAGGAACATCACTGAATTAGCTACTATATGTAAATACAGTTTATGCGCAAAAATCACTTAATTGATCATTACCCCTAACTGTGAGTTTTGCTACAAGGTGTAAAGAAGGCTGCCTATTTGTTAGTGTGTCAATGTGCCTTTAGCTTGCAGCATATTCCATCATAACGTTAATGGTCAGGGTCCGTAACCAGCACTTGTCATTTGAAAGGAGCCATTGAATCATTTGGTTGCATATCATTCTGCATATCCTGTCCTACATTAAACTGTTTTGTTTGTGGTATGTTTAAACTTGGATTTGCATAGTGTCTGCCACACTGAAAGGGCCAATGTTGCATGATCTAAGCAGCTGCAGAGGTATAATGATGTAAAGGAGCAATAGCTCAGAACATTTTATGGATATAGTTTGCTTTTTATACTTGGTGACTTTAGAAGTGAACATATGGATTTCTTTGCAGGCTGCAGAGACTGCCAACCTTGAGGAGCACTTTAAAGAATGGGGTGATGTTATTTTGGTTGCTGACCGTGTCCTTCGTTGGGAGAAGCCGTGGTTTCCTGCCATTGTGATGGGAGCAGTTTCTCTTGTGTTTATGTAAGTAATGCTGTTTTGATCTTAATTCTTTAATTCAAGTTTTCACAAGTTTAACCCCCTTAAGGACACATGACGGAAATATTCCGTCATGATTCCCTTTTATTCCAGAAGTTGTGTCCTTAAGGGGTTAATAGGACATTCTAGGCCAGTGATTGCCAACCTATGGCACATGTGCTACAACACTCCTGTGGGTTTCGATACTCAGGCATTCAGCGCAATGAACAGGATTCTAAGCATGTGCTCTGATACCCTCACTGAGTGCCAGACTAGGAGAGGTGCAGATCATGCACTCTACAACTGGACCGTCAGGGAATTCTTATTAAGCTCACTGGACCACAAGGTATTTATTATTAACCACCACCGATAAAAAGGTAATTAACTCCCACTGGCCCACCAGGGAAGTTGGCCTCCTCAAAAAAAGCAGGAGAGGGGACAAAACATTTTTTCAATTTGTATTTTATTAATGCAATTAAAGTGGTTCCTTCACCCCAAACTTGCCCATTTCCCATTGTTTCTTCTTCCCTTCCTCTTTCAGAATCTGTTCTGTTTTTCATCTATTTCTCTTTAACTTTATGCATTTTCCTACACGTCAACACTTGACAAACGGTGGAGCTTAAGGCAAGCTTGATTTCCTTTGTCAAAATAACTTTTCCCACAATACTTACCTTTCTATCCAGTCCTTCCATTGTAACATTGTGAGACCACCTCGCATCACTTTCAATCTGGACTCCATTTAACATGTGCAGGAATTAGATCCCGTTGCATACGCTGGGAAGATGAAGGCAGAGTCCCTACTGTTATGTCACTACTACAGCCACTAGTGGCTTCTAACAAAATGAGTTCTTTAATCTGTCTGAAGTTTGGTGTCTGCATGTAAAGTGTACTGACTCTGGTTTTGGTCTGTGAGTCCAATACTTTTCTTTGAGAAGCATTGAGGAAAAACTTCTCTTGGTTTTGGAGACATTCCTGACTGTTCGACCTTCTCTCAATTTTATTATGTCTCCAGAACCCATTGATGTCATTATTTTTATTATAGTATCATCATGTTTCTGTGTCTTAATTTTTTACAATATATAATATTGTTTCATTTCTTTTCTCGCATTATCTATATAATACATTCAAAAAATTAAATATATATATATATATATATATATATATATACTATAACATTTATCTATCTAGGTCAGCACCATCCTGGACAAGTAACATTATGCCCAATATTCTTTAAGGTCAAAGTGACTGTTGCTCTTTAAGAAGACATACAGAATTATTCAGAAAGCCATACTTGCCCCCATAATGATATATATTCCTCTAAAGTTCATTGCACAATATTCTTTAATACTTCAAGTCTTTGTATGGTAAAGATTATTTTAAAATGTAAATGTTCCTGTTGCAGCTTGGTCTATTACTTGGATCCCTCTGTGCTCTCCGGTGTTTCCTGCTTTGTGATGCTTTTGTGCTTGGCAGACTACCTTGTTCCTATACTTGCTCCAAGAATTTTCGGCCTTGGTCAATGGTAAGTTTAGCAATTGAATTGAAACTGTTGCAGCCATTTCATTTAGCTGTCCAGTTAAAATGAAAGTAATGTGGTTGTTTTGCATCCATTTTAATTGTATTCTTACTATTTTATATATTTTCCTTCTTTGATAGTTCTTGCTCCTGGAATGTAGCCAGGAGTGAACCAGGTTCTTGATAACCCTTGAGAATGGCAAATGTCTTATTAATTAACCATTGAAATGCCTTGTGTGCTTAAAGGACCACTGTAGTGCCAGGAAAACATACCGCTGGGCTGGATGGAAAGGAAGGGGTTAAAATCTTACCTTTCTCCAGCGCCGGGCAGGGAGCTCTCCTCCTCCTCTTCGGCTGAATGCGCATGGAGCTGCGCGCGCATTCAGCCAGTCTCATAGGAAAGCATTCATAATGCTTTCCTATGGACGCTGGCGTCTTCAGTGAGAAGCACGCAAACACCTCTAGCAGCTATCAATCAGACAGCCACTAGAGGCTGGATTAACCCATTTATAAACATAGCAATTTCTCTGAAACTGCTATGTTTATAAAAAAAATATAAAAATGGGTTAAATACCATAATAACAATTTGTGTACTCCTTGGGACAAAGTAAACCTGTCCCTAAACTGCCACAATAACTTGCGCATCAAAACAGCATAGTTGCCTAGCTTATGTGTTTTAAATCCAGTCAGTCAGTGGCAGCTGGCTAAAAAAAATGTTGATGCTGTGGTTCTAGACTCCATGTCTTGAATTTGATTGTGCTCTCCAGGTAATATATGAAACATTAGTTTGTTTAATTCTCTAAATGTTAAATTGTGGCACAGTAAAAGCTGAATGGCATAATTTTAAGCAAAAATCTTACATGTGCATACATTGTGCCATTTTAATTCACTGCTGTTTAGAATTTAGGGCATAAACCCTGTGATAAAGGAAAAGTGTAGGCACCATAACCACGTCAACAGAGATGCTCTGCTCTCTACAATTCAGCCCCATAGTATGTCATAACAATTGATACCAGAGATTGGGGCAGTGATTGTCAGAGCTCTCATCTAACACTCTCAGCCAGTGACTGCCTGGTAGGGATAGAGTGTGCTTGCCTCTTCTATTTCATCATTGGAGATCAGGCCACATGCATCTTTGGTTCGTGGTGAATAATCAGTCATCTGGCTCTCACAGGTACAAAATAACTTCCATCATTTTGTGCTTACTTTAATTTGGACCTTTAAATATAATCCTAGTGCCATCTAGTGGTCAAAATATCAAATTGCTAGACAGTACTATTAATAAAAAAAACTTCATGGTTCACTACTGCCCAAATATATTAAACTACTAAGCGAATATACCCCCAATGAAAACATTTGTTTGTGTGTTTTTGGTTTTTTTTTCATTGGGGCATATCTTAAAAACAGCTTACTTACAAAAGCTGCCGATCTCTTGCATGCATGCTCTATGCAACTGCTTGCCTTTTGCGTTTAGAGCCACTGTAACAGGACCAGTTGCCAGACAGCCAGGAGGGTGTAACAAGGTTAATTTATCAGAGGTTTCATATATATTGAAATCTGCACTTTTTATAAAATGGATTAAAAAAAAAAAAAAAAATAGGGCTCAGTGTTCAGGGATAAGACAGTTCTTCAGGTGAGGGATGATTGGAATGCATCATTAATAATGATAATGATGATGATGATAAATAAAATGCTTCTAGTATAGTTCCTCCATGTGCGTGCTTCTTAGTTGAAGTGTTAATGTTTTTGCTGTCTAACTAGAAGGGCAAAGGTTTTTGAAAGTTTGTATGAAGAACTAGAACCGTGTGATGTGTAGAAACTGTTAATACACCTCAAATAAAACCTGTCTAAAGATTATGAAATGGTTATATTGCAGATTGACAAGCTTTCCCTTCATATTTTGGTGGTAGAAAGAGGATCCAGGCACTACAAGTATCTTCAATTTTATTAATTTGGCTAAGTGAGACACCGCACTGGTCAAGCTGACAAAGACCCTTTCAGGGGTCGAAACTTTTTTTTTTTTTCATATTTTGTGATAAATTTTTATATTCGTTTACATTTTTTTTTTTTTTTAATAAATGAAAGAAAAAGTCCTTTTTTAGAAGTATAATTGGAACCCCTGTGGACGAGCCCCAACTGACCTCCAAACTGTGTGGCTCAGCTGAGGTATACAGCTGATTAGTTTAATGATTTGACTGCCAGATGGTATTTGTTTCTAGGTAGAATTAGCACATCTCCCACCAAGGAATGTTAGACCTCCGGTTCTCTAGCATGCATAGTTGCACTAAGAAAGACCATGGCGCTTATGCTGAAATATATAGGGTTGATCTCTATAGTGGGAATTGTTAGGAATTCAAAGTGAATTTGAAATTCTAGGACAGGTTAGCTGAACTGGAAAAAATCTCCAAGTCTGCAATGCAGTTGATCTATATTATCCAGAAATGCGAATTTTGCTATGTATTCACAACAATTCCCAGTTTCTGTGTTATTCACTAACATGAGCATTGTAAGAAATTCAAAGTCACTATCATATTTAAAGAGACACAATAGGTATCCAGGCCCTTCATTTCCATTGGTGCCATGTCCTTTTCGGTTTAACCATGTAGTGTAAAACATTGCTATGCTGCAGGGTTTAAATGCCTCTAGTGGCTGTTACACTGACATCCACTAGAGCTGTTTCCGCAGAAATAGCCACATAATTCTATTTCTATAAGACCATCTGATTAGCGCAGTGCCGCATTATACTGTACATGTGAACTGGCCTCCCAATGCTTTAATATGGGAATAGCATTAAATTGGCTGAGATCATCGATCTCGATGATCTCTGCCAAGGAGGCAGGGCCAACCGCTGACAGAGCAAAAGGGCGTGGGGGAAAAAAGTGAACTTCCGTTTTAACCCATGGAGGGTAATTTTAAATGGTGACTATGGCACTACAGAGTTAGAAATAGGCCTATGTATTCCTAATGCTATAATGTTCCTTTAGGGCAAAAATAACTAAACTGGAATAATTCAGCTATGCTTCCAGTTCAATACTCTGGCATAATATCTGAAAGGTACCTTATATAATTACTGTATAATCATTATAATTTTTTTTCTCTTGGATTTTTTTGGGAAATAATTTTATGCATCGATTTCTTCTGCCCCCAAGATACATTGAATCATGTCCTACATATTATACCTTTTTGCTATTCTAGGAGCACTGAGCAGCACCAAAGATTCCATGAGATCTGCAGCAACCTTGTGAAATCACGTCGAAGGGCTATTGGCTGGTGGCAACGTCTCTTTGTCCTAAAAGAGGAAAAGCCAAAAATGGTGAGATTGTTTGGAATGCTTGGCTTTAATGTGATAGTTGGGGGGGAAAGGGTTAATGACGAAGATAAAGTTATAGATGTACATAAGCATGATAAAGGTAATGTTAATCCCCCCCCCCCTCTCTCTCTCTTTTCAGTATTTTATGTCTATGATAACTTTTCTTGCTGTGGTTGCTTGGATTGGACAGCAAGTTCATAACCTTTTCCTCACATATTTGATTGGTAAGTTTGGGACTGTATAAGAATTTTGGTTTTGCCAACCAAATACCCGTATATACTAGAGTATAAGTCGACCCGAATATAAGCCGAGGCCCCTAATTGGACCTCAAAAAAACGGGAAAACTTATTGACTCGAGTATAAGACTAGGGTGGGAAATGCAGCAGCTACTGGTAAATTTCTATATAAAATTAGATCCCCCAAAAATTATATTAATTGAATATTTATATACAGTGTGTGTATGTAATGAATGCAGTGTGTGTGTGTGTTGCAGAGCCTTGGTGGGGAGTGTGAATGTGTTTTTTTTTATATTATGAATATTTTTATTTTATTTTGTATTATTTAAATTTTTATTTATTTTATTCCCCCCTCCCTGCTTGATAGCTGGCCAGGGAGGGGGGCTCTCATTCCCTGGTGGTCCAGTGGATGGGCTGTGTAGGAGGTGGGCTGGCAGCAAGCTGTAACTTGCCTTTCCTGCAGCTCCTGTCAGCTCCCTTCTCCTCCACTGTAAGTATCGCTGTCTGAGTGCCGCGCGGAGCATTGCCACGGTAACCCGTGGCAACGCTCTGACCCTGCGGCTGTCGCGAGACTTACAGTGGGAGCTGACCGGAACGCAGGAGAAGGGAGCTGCAGGAAAGGTAAGTTACAGCTCTCTGCCAGCCCCCAACAGGACCGCCGGACTTGTAATGAACCCGGCGGTCCTTGTCTGTATTATGGCAATGTAAATTGCCATAATACAGACATTGACTTGAGTATATAAGTCGAGTGGGGCTTTTTCAGCCCAAAAAATTTGCTGAAAAACTATACTTATACTTGAGTACATACGGTAACAGTGTTTTAATAACACTTGAAAGCCTTGCTGGAATGCACCCCAAAAACTTACATGTAATTCAGCTGCAAGGCCAAGTTCTCCCTGTAGCCTGATGCACCTTTCCTGATGTAACTCGCACTTACACCGCTGGGAGGGATGTCAGTCAGGGCTTTTACAGGTGCAGGGGTATTGCCACCATTGACCCTTTTGACAGCGTGCTCAAGACAGACATATTCAATGCACAGATTTAAGATTAGCCGGACCAGAACTCTCGCTCCAGGTTTGCTGATAATGCGGCTATGGGTGAGCTTTCCAGGTATCTCTACATTAGGGGTGTTTCATACTGAAACACTGCACATACAGACTCCTTGGACCAAGACCACTTTTAATCTCTGAAGTGGTCATGGTGTTTAGGGTAACCAAGAGTACTTTACACAATGTTAACAATCAATTATTGCTATTGCTATATACAGAAGGAGCCCTGTTGGATGTCCAATATTTATAGCACTTTATATATAGTGTTACGTAAGACTGGAGCCAGTACTGAAGAATATTCCTAACCTTTCCTGTTTACAAGCCATTTTACTGCATCAGCGTGTGCTGAGCATCCTTTTGGTGCACACCCCTGGGCGCTTTCACTTAAAGTAATAGACCTTCTCCGTGACTTTGCTGCGGTAGGAGAGGTAAGCAGTACCAAAGGAGCCCGTTCAACCAATGACACTCCTGGTACCATAGCCACTGGAGCAGACTATAGTGGTTATGGTGCTCTGGATCTCATGGGAAACCTCCTGTGTCAAAGATAGTGCCCAAGTTTGGTAATTATTCCACCTACATATCAACCAAGCAAAGGAAGTGTGTGCTGGTCTTATTTGGATCTTTTTCTAATAAATATAGGGGTAAAAGCATTCTCAAAAATAGGTTTACTTGAATTTTATTATATGTGGGAATGCAGGGCTGCAGACACCCAAGGAACCCAGATAAGTTGTCAAACTGTTCTTAAAATATTTGACAAATTACTTTTGGGAGGGTGCCAGAGCGCTACTGCCACCATAAGCACTATAGTGAACTGCATTAATTATGGTGCTTGCTGTGTTCCTTTTATTCTAGCTTTGGGGACCTCATGGGAAACCTAATCTGTAAAAGCTGGTCTTCTTCTGATTGATCATTACTCCACCCACATATCAACCCAGCTATCTGGTTTTATGTTTTCTTTTCTGTCATTTTTGGTTATTTTTCTTTTTCTTTTTGATTTTCTTCTTCATATAAAAAGGTCTACTTTAAATAGCCAAGATGTGAGCATGCAGCATTTGTAGTGGGATACTGTTCTATGTGAAGCCATTGATGCGGTTATCCTTTAAATGACATCACTTATTTCCTTCCAGTGAGCTTTTTACTACTGCTTCCTGGTCTGAACAAACACGGGATAATTACAAAATATGCCGGAATGGGGAAACGAGAAATAAACAAGCTCCTTAAGTTAAAGGAAAAGAAGAACGAATAAAACAAGGATTGCCAGATTCAACAATGCAATCTTCCATGGGAGCATTTTTTTAATTTTCCCTTCTGTCTAATATTTGTGTTTTGGGGATATTTTCATGCTACTGTTCATTTCCTCAATAACTGCCAATGCTGTATCTTTTTAAACTGGTTGCACTGAAACTTAATGTTTGTTTTGGTGAACAAAGAGTTAATATTCCTTGAAGAGTGTGTTTAAAAAAACAAAACAAAAAAAACTGCTGTATTTGTGGGTCATTCTTTGTCTCAAAAAGAAAAAGTGTTGAATGCAAGATCTTTGTTTTACCTTTACCACTTTTTTATTGGTTTTTCTCCTTTTGTAAATATGTTTTTCCATGTGTTTTCTCTTTCTGTATACAATGCACTTTTTTTTTTCCCCCCCTTAATATTTGTCTTCCGAATGCCAGTGGATGTAATAAAATGTAGAATGTTAAATGTTACGTTTCCATGTAATTTTTTTTTTTTTTGCTTTTTCCTTGTAATAAGTCAAACTTAAATCTTTTCAAAGACATGACCTAAAGAAATAGACAAAAATATATATATTTTCCTTGTGTTCTTGTATATCTTTAGATTTATAAGTCACTGTTTTAAAAAATTATATATTAAATATATATTTTTATAGCGCAATCAAATTCCGTAGCGCTGTACAATGGGTGGACTAACATACATGTAATTGTAACCAGACAACTGGACGTACAGGAACAGAGGGGTGGAGGGCCCTGATTCATGAGCTTACATCCTAGAGGGAGTGGGGTATAGTGACACAGAGGGTAAAAGTAGGGGTACGACATAGGTAAAAAAGTATTAATTGAGGGCTTAGTAGGTAATTTTTGACAGTTGCAGGAGAGGAGTCTTGGGGGATGAAAACCTGCTAACCGTTTAATTGATATACTTTCTTGAAGTGAGTTTTCAATGATTTTTTGAATGAGTGGAGACTGGGTGAAATTCTTACAGAGAAGGGAAGGGAGTTCCACAGAAGAGGTGCAGCCCTGGAAAAGTCTTGGAGGTGGGAGTACGGACAGAGAATATACGTAGGTCTTTGGCAGAGCGTAGGGGCCTCGACAGGACATACTTGTGTATTAGGGAGGATAGGTAGGTTGGAGCAGCATTATGTAGGGACTTGTAAGCAAGCACCAGAATTTTAAATTGAGCCCTATATCTAACTGGAAGCCAATGCAGGGACTGACAGAGCGGGGAGGCATGGGAGGTGCGAGCAGACAAGAAAATGAGCCTTGCTAACGCATTCATTATAGATTGCAGCGGTGCAATCTGGGAACACACAAGACCACTGAGAAGGGTATTGCAGTAGTCTAGGCGAGAGAGAACAAGAACATGGACCAGCACCTTAGCCGCATTCGGGGTTAAATAGGGGCGGATGCACGCTATGTTTTTGAGATGGAAGCGACCGGATTTGACGATTGATTGGACATGAGGGGTGAAGGAGAGGTTGGAGTAAAAAAGAGCACCCAGGCAGCGAAGTAGAGGTGATGGTAGCGCCTTGTCTTGGAGGGAGACACACGGGAGTAGTAACACTTGAGGGAGGAAAGACCAGAAGTTCTGTTTTGGACAGGTTGAGTTTAAGAAAGTGAGCAGCCATCCATTTGGAAATCGAAGAGAGGCAGTCAAGATGGGCGGAGAGAGATCAGGAGAGGACAGGTAGATTTGCGTGTCAGCTACATAGAAATGATAACGGAAGCCAAAGGAGCTGATGAGTTTACCAAGGGAGGCAGTGTAGATAGAGAACAGTAGGGGACCAAGGACAGAACCTTGGGGGACGCAAACAGAGTGTTTGGGGGGGGAAGAGGCAGAGAAAGAAACGCTGGGAGAGGTAGGAGAGAGCAGTATCCCATAGACCAAAATTACGGAGAATGTGAAGATGTTGATGAGCAACAGTGTAAAAGGTAGCAGAAAGATCAAGGAGAATTAGGATAGAGTAATGGCTGCAAGATTTAGCAGCAATTAAATCGTTGGATACTTTGGTCACAGCCGTTTCGACAGAATGACCAGCGCGGAATCCAGACTGAAGGGTTTCGAGAAAGTCAGTCTGGTTTACACAACTCTCTCAAAGGATCTTGGAGGCAGTAGCGAGATAGGGCGGTAGTTAGATGGGGAGTTGGTGTCAAGGCTGGGCTTTTTCAGAATTAGGGTTACAGTTACATGTTTGAAGGGTAAGGGAAGTGTGCCAGAGGAAAGGGAGAGATTGAAAATTTTAGTGAGGGGAAGAGCAAGAGAGGGAGACATATTGCGGATGAGATATAAAGGAATAGGATCGAGGGAACAGGTGGTGGGGCGGGAGGACCAGAGCAGAAAAGAAACCTGTTCTGTTGTAGCAGCTGCGAATGAGTGTAGAATGGTGGAGGGAGTGGGTTGGGTGATGTAACGGTAGGGGAAGGAGAGAAATTAGCGATCTCTGATTGTAGAGATCTTAGTGAAGTGAGATGCAAGGTTTGTGGTGGACAAGGTGGTAGAAGGAGGGGGATTAAAAGGGCGAAGAGCAGCATCAAAAGTGTGAAATAAGTGTTTAGGTTGATGGGACAGTGTACTTATGAGGGTGTTAAAGTAATTTACTCTTGCAGCAGAGAGAGCCAGGCTGTAGGAGCGCAGCATACATTTATAGTGGAGGACGTCAGATGCAAAGTGTGACTTTCTCCAGCAGCGTTCAGCCGTTCTAGAACATTTTTGGAGGTAACTGGTCAGCTTGGTGTGCTAGGGTTGTAATTGGGGGCGCTTGGTGCGTTTAATTGTAGGAAGTGCCATGATGTCGAGTTGAGAGGAGAGAGTTGAGTTGTAGAGTGAGGTAGCTGAGTTAGGGCAAGTTAGATTTGAGATGGGTAAAAGGAGAGTATTGAGTTTGGTGGAGAACTGCTGGAGATCAAGGCAGTTGTGGTTTCTGCGAGACTGGAGTTAAGGGTGGTGAAATTTTGGTATGGGGTATGCTGACGTCAGATGTTAGTAGATGGTGGTCAGACAAAGGAAATGGAACAGTGGAGAGATTAGAGGTGGTACAGAGATTGGTGGAAATGAGGTCAAGAGTGTTTCCTACTGTATGAGTTGCTGAAGTTGACAACTGCGTGAGGCCAAAGGAGGAGGTTACAGAGAGCAGACGGGAGGCATCAGGTCAGTTGAGGTTATTGATTGGGATGTTAAAGTCCCCAAGTATGAGGGAGGGAGTGGGGTAGCCAGGAAGCAAAGTGTTCAATGAATAGCCTAGGACAGTGATGGCGAACCTTTTTGAGCCCGAGTGCCCAAACCGCAATACATGCCAACTTTTTTTCCCCTCAAAGTGCCAACACGGCAATTAAACCTGAATACTGAGGTTTAAGTTTAGAAAAAAACAACTTGTACAGTTGTCTGAACTAATTAACAACTTTTGTTTTAAAAGAACACAACAGAGTTCAATGATACAAATTTTAAATAATGATGTAAATTGATAAAATTAAGCTTATACTGTATTTATTAGTATCTCCAACAAATGCAACACACACACACACACACACACTCTGCTTCACAGATCCCTCCTCCTGACACGGAAGCAGAGTAGGTGCCTGCTGATGGCGTGCCATACACACACAGACTGCTGAATACACATACATACAACTGCTGAATACACATACATACAACTGCTGAATACACACACAAAGTCAGCTGAATACACACTGCTGAATACACGCACATACTGCATTGAGGGGTGCAGTATATGTGTTTGTGTGTGGGGGGGGTAGGGGTGGTAAAGATACATTTAATAATAATAAAACAAAAAAAAGGTATATCAAATCTGTATCCCCCCCTCCTTCCCTCTTACCTTTGGTGGGGGAGAGTGGCACACCGCCATCACTGGTGGTCCGGTGGTGGTAAGTACTGTAGGGAGCAGCTCTCCTGTCCTCCCACGCGATGCTGTGTGGAGTGTTACCATGGTAACGCGCGGCAACGCTCCACACAGATTGCTTGCGGGAGGACAGGGGAGCTGCTTCACAGATCCTTCCCCCTGCCTCCCGACACGGAAGCAGAGTAGGTGCCTGCTGATGGCGTGCCATAGGTTTGCCATCACTGGCCTAGGATGTTTGGGAGGGGGGGACGCGATAGATGATGGCAATTCTTAAAGGAGTGGGCTTAAAAAGGCGGACAGTGTGAACTTCAAAGGAAGTAAAGGCAAGGGCAGGGAGAATAGGTTGAAAGGTACATTGAGGGTAGAGAAGGATGCCTACACCGCCTCCTTTACCGTCGAGTCTGGGAGTGTGGGAGAATTGTAGTCCTCCGAAACATAAAGAAGCGGGAGTAGCGGTATCAGAGGGGGACAGCTAGGTCTCAATGAGTGCCAATAATGTGAGGGAGTTAGAGATGACAAGGTCGTGTATAGTTGTTGATTTAATAGTACTACAGATTCGACGGACATTCCAGAGTGCACACTGAATTTTGGTAAAGGAGGATAAACTGCAGGGTATGTGGATGAGGTTTGTGTGGTTTCTGGTTGTGTTAGTGTGAGCAGACGAGGTGAAGGGCCCTGGGTTGGGTGAGACATCACCAGCTGCTAGAAGTAGGAGAGACAGTGACAGAAGCTGTATGCTGGACACTGAAGCCAGAGAACGATTTTTAGAAGTGGTGGGTATCAGCTGTATAAGTTACCCACATAAAAGCATAAATACACAACGTAGAATGCCACAGTCACGAACAACGCTGGGTTTCAAAAGTCCCGCTCACGTGACCACTTCCGGGTCTGCCTTCTGATAACGTCTCCGTGACGCGTTCCGCCCGCCTGTCTGGACTTCCTCCTCCGACGTCAGTGTTCACCAGCTCCTCCTCATATACACCTTAATCCACCCCCATACTGTCATCACTAATCTGTTATGTTTGATGTTAGCTGGCTGTTGTGCAGATAATTCCCCCCAGCACTCTCTTATAGCTGATCAGCATGGAGGAGTATTAGATTAGGACACACTTAGTCCTGTCACACAGGGGAGGAGAAACAAAGAAGAAAAAGGCTATGTATGGGGGCGGATTAAGGTGAAAATGCAGTGTTTACATTACAGCCTAGTGATAACTTTACTGGCCACTCCTCAGCTACTAGAGGTGCTTCCTGGGGCAGTGCTGCACACTGTGTAGCACTGCTATTTAGTGTCTCCACCCTCTGCATGGAGAAACTGAACTTTCCTCATAGAGATGCATTGATTCAATGCTGACTGGACAGGACTATGGTTGACTTGTGTTGGCTCTGCCCCTAATCTACCTTCTTGATAGTCTCAGTCCTATGGAAAAGCATTGTGATTGGATCAGATCATCACTTCTGATTATATCAGCCAAGCAGGACCGAGCCAGCAGCAGCAGCTGACTGGAACAAAAGTATGATTTTAACTATATTTAGGGAGGGGAGGGGGGAGAATGGAAGAGGCGTAGATGGTAGGAATACATTTTAATATGGACTGAACAAGAGTAAACAGACACATTTCAGGTTTGATCTGTCAAAAAACATACTACATATGGTTTATAAACTTTGTGCGCCCCAAGATCCTATAATTTATCCTTTCTCCACCAGCATATGTTTCTTAAAAGAGAGCCAATGGTCATACAGGTAAAGGGATACTATATCACCAAAACGGCTTTAGCTTAATAAAACAGTTTGAGTCTAGAGATCATGCCTCTCTAACTCACTTTTGTTTTTGTTTATGCAG